TGCTCTCAGTTTTCCAAACTCACCTTCAGCAAGAAACTGGGCCAAGATGATTCTTTTTTCTTAAAAACAATTCAAATTCCAAAACTATAGATACTAGAATCTCACGCAACCTAAAATCAAATTCTAGAGATCAACTAGAACGATTTGATGTATTGTGTGTACTTCTACCTGGTCTCAATTTTATGTAGTAGTGCACAGCTTTAATAACATGAACAAAATCCAGCCAAAAATTGCTTGCCAAAAAATCACAAAATATTTTATTGATAAATAAGTGAATAAATCTTGCAAAACACCTCAAAATCAATTTTCTCATTAAAAACAAATCGAAAAGATGAATAAAAAAGAGAGTATCATGAGATGGTCCATTGAGTTTTATTTGTCATTTTTTGTGTTCTTCCACAAAGTAAAAGACCTGATATTTGCAAAATATGTTTTTTATTGGACTTGTAAATTTTTTTTTGTGGCTTTTGAGAACAACAAAATACTGAACATACCCCCCACCTGATAATATCAATCTCCAATTTCGAATAGTAGATGTGGGTGCTGAACAAGAGGAATTAATAGGATGATGAATCTTAAACATGTTATTCATACCTTAATATTGTATCACCCTTCTCGTTAGATTCCAATTTCAATTAGATACCTTCCTCTCAACCAATTGAAACATTAAGAGCCAATTGTTGTTATCTTTTTTACTTCTAATTGGAAAAAAAAACTGCGCGCTAAGTTTTTAGAAAGTGCGCTCTTCAAAAATTCAATTTCAACCTCATAAAAAAATGTCTCGATCATTCCACTATGATGATGCACTCTCTAATGGCTCGGATAACAATTTGAGGGATATCGAGTTGGCAGATGATAGTAAATATGTACTTCCTAAAAAAACAAAATGGTCTCGGAATAAAAAGATTTGTGTGGGTAGTTTGCTAGGCTGTGGATTGTGTTGTTTAATTACATGTATTGTAATTGCTATTGCTATTGCAATTTATTTAGGAAGAAAGAATGTAAATATTTATCCTACTCCTGAATATACAGCATCAGATGATTTTTTACGTTTTCTTGTTGTTGGAGATATGGGACGTGCAGATGATGGTCAAAAGGCTGTTGCTGCCAGTATGGGAAAGTTCTGTAAAACACAAAAATGTCATTTTGTAATTGGTATTG